TTCAGCCTATTAGAACCAACTTCTGTATTCAGCAGGCTTTGTTTCTTAAACACTGTAGGTGTGAAAATTTGATCCCTGAACTGACTCTTTGGCCACCTGTTCAGTGAGCATGCATCAGTAATAGTCGCTACAGGGAATGCAGCTCTTACTCTGCCTGTGTGCTGCCTGCTCAGAGCTGGCTTGCTGCTGGCACCCCAGAAGCCACGCAGGCACTTCCACACTACGATCTGGCTGATGGATTTATTTCATAGATGAACTGACCTTCGCTAGTAGCAACTTGGCCACATTTTACAGGAATTGACGTGTTTCACTCAATGAATGAAATGCCATCCATTTTCTTAATGTTTTGCTTTAATTTTTAGAGCAAACATGGGTCTAGGCTATTGTCATTTGTAAAAAGACAAAAAGGGATTTCTTCTGAGATCAAAGCAGTGTAATAATTGTGTTCTGCTCACTACTACAAAACATTTGTTGCAGCTTAATTGATGTGCAGATATTTCTTTCAAGAAGCCTCAACAGCTGTTAAAGTGGAGCTGTGCCCTTGTGGCTGGCAGCAGCTCAGGTCTACGGTTAATGAAGAGCTGGAGTGAGGTGCAGAGGGCTGCACGGTCAGGGGCACTGAAGTCAGTCCTTAGCTTTCTGGTGTCGACCCAGAATGGTTTCCTATTCAGTTTTAGCCTTAACCTTTGAAATCTACATCTTTGTCATTTCTGGCATCCCTGAACTGTAAGACCATTTCTAGATTTGAGGTTTAAGGATAAGTTTTGTTGAAGTCAAAAATGCAATGCAGAGGGCCCTCCCTGGTGGCACAGCGGGTTAAAGCACAGCACTGAGAAGCTTAAGCCATAGCAGACCTTAAGTCTGCTTTGGAAAGTATTGGTGAGTTTATCTTTGGACAGCAGGAAAATAGTTTTATGACGTCAGTGAAATTGCATCATCATAGGCTATCAACCGAGTTGAAACAAGATTGGCTACTTCCTTAGTTACTATTACAAAAACAGTTTACCATGCAGTGATCTTATCATTGAGGTAAGGAAGGCTGGAAAGCCAACTAAAAAAGAAATAACTCGGTCTTTCTGTTGAGCTGATTCTACTTAGTATATTAAATGCAGGAGAAAGACTGCAGAAGCTTTCTGCTTTCCAGTGTCATTTGAAATTCTATCAACTTGAAGTAATTTTAATAGTTGAGTTTTTAAGTGCTTATTTTAAGATATAATCTTACATTCCAGAACTCATTCACTCTGCTCAATTTGATTTTAATGCATGACCATGGGATGTTTGGCCTTGTGTGCTCAGCACATCTTTATAGTCTGGCCTGTGGCTCTGGGAATCTGCATTATAAAGCAGAAAGGAAGGAAGGAAAAATACCATAATTGGTACTTCAAATTAATTTGGTGGAGCTGGAATCCTGAATTTCAAATTTGGCTCTTGCTACAATGGTTCTAGATGCTGAAGTTGGGTTCTGTCTGAGATCACATTAACCTGATCACGAAAATGTGATATGTAAGCTGGGTCACTTCATGAAGATGTGCTCAGTGAAAACTTAAAATAAGTCTAGGCTCTGAATTTCCTCCTCAAATTTGAGTGAAATACAAATAGAGGTGCCAGGTCAACATTCAGCTTAGGAAAGGGATCTTGGTTTCTCTCACCTTTCAGCAGTAGAGAGCAAGGCAGTCCTCAGGTGGAGGCGTCCTTTGGAGAGTGGTTAAGGAGGGCCGCTAGAGGAGCTTATGGTCCCCAGATGACCAGTCTCTAACTTGCACATCACTGTCCAGCACTGAGGTTTTCTCCAAGTTCCTGCCTTCCTAAGTCAGTGTGTCCAGAACTGCTTCTCTCTTACATAGATGACTTCTCATCGACCTTGACCTTGGAAGCTTCCCACTGAATAAATTGCTGAATATTGAAAGCAAATGAAATCTGCAGTAAAACCACCCTGCTGGGATAAAAAGCATAGTTAGCCCTGCTCTGCAGGGCAAACAGCAGTCTATTTCTAAGGTTTTTTGTTTTGTTTTTTTTTTGCTTAGGTCAGTGGTGTGTCAGAGGTGAGCAGGGCTGAGGAGTTTACAGTATGTGCAAACATTCAGCCCCTGTCATTTTTGTTCATATGAAATAGCTGGTGTTAAAATATTCAGTAGCCGTCTGGGTCTACCCTATGACCCTGTTGTTTTGCATGGTGGTTAGTGATAGTGTCAAAGCCTCTGTTTACCCCAGGAGGACTTTTAAATCCCAGTTGACTTTGACCAAGCCTGCCTTGTTGACTGTTGGCATAGCCTGGGGTCAGGCTGGGACTGTGGGGCCTGGCTCTGGGACACAAGCCCTTTGTTTCAGTTAGAGCTTCAGCCCCTAGCTGAAGATTGTAAGTTTAAGACAATTAAGTTAGCCTAATTACATTTGTGTTTAACTCCTTAGTGTCTTTACCTCTTCCATGTGAATTAAGTTTTGGTTTGGTTGAAATAGCTGGAATTAAATAACAATACCATGCAAACCATCCACTCTACAGTAACTGGTAAAGCAGCAGCTTTAAGTTCTATTGGTATTTTTGTGTTCAAAAAAGCAGCCATGGGTTCCTAGCCCAGATTTTGCCAACACCTCTTTAGCAAGGTCCCATACTCTTACTCCTCTGAATTTCTCAACTGCTTCAGGCAGATTCAACTTTCAGTGAAGCCCTGGACAGAACCAAGATGAGCAGCCAGATCAGGTCTTACAGTTAGACATTCCCTAGTCCCCACAAGCTCTGTGTGAGCACTAACGGTGGGAAGGGTCACTGTTCTCAGTACACTGACAAAATGCCAACTCCGAGGTCTGTCAGGGATCCCTTCACCTCCCACACGGACCAGAGATTAAAGTAAACAAGACTGGCAATAATCAAGCACACGAGTTTTGATAAAAGAATTCCTATTTTCTACATTTGGTTGGGATAGTTGATTTCCAGAGAAGCACCCAGTCTATACCTGTTTGTACATGGCCGGCATGAAGAAAGCGACTTCTCGCCGCCGCCTCCTGTGAGGCACTGCCTCACAACCACCCAGTCACAACTTTGAAATCTACGCTTCGAAGTCAGTGCCGACTAAACAAGGCAGGAGCCTTGAAGAGGTGGCTTTGTGCATGCACTTAAATTTTTCCAGCTATTTGCCAAACAAGCCTGAAGAACAGCAAGGTCTGGGGTTGTGAAAGGGATGAGGGTAGCCTGAAAAATAGTTCATGCAGTACCCCCTAGCCCCCACTCACTGACACTGCTCCACGCTTCCCAGCAGGCAGGACAGCAGCCATGGAGGCCAGGTCTGGGCAGATGACTACCCCTCGCTTCTAGATTGGCTTCTTAACTGACACTGAAATAGGCCTTACTTGATGGGTGACATCTCTGCAGGGCAGAGGTTAAGCAGTGAGTCAGTTTCTACTCCTCCCATGAATAAAATGTTAGGAAATCAGCTTGAATAACCCCACAGCTGGTCAAGACGCCAGAAGCCCTCCAACCCAGCAAGCATGTCACCCTGAAGGCTGGTCCTTATGAAACCTGAGGCCCACTCATCTCCACTTCTTAGGTGTGGCAGCTCTTTCACAGGCCTGGAGTCCTCCCCTCCCCCTGCCAGAAAAGCCTTGAAGCCGGAACACCCACTCTACCTGCCAGCAGCAAAAAGAGGTCAACCTCACAGGAGCGCTGACCAACTTGGCCCAAAGCCACAGCTAATCAGCACGATCCCCGACACAACTGTACATCTTCCCTTAAGGGAGCACAGGGGAGGGGACGACAAAAATACACTGCTCTACCCAGACAACTCCAGCAGAGGGGTACAGCAAGGACCTTTTCTTTACATCTGTTAAAATAAGTTGCCAAGAGAGCCTAACTGCAATAAATGACCCAAAGTCTGTATACGCATATTTCAAGAAGGCACATGAAAACATTACATAACTGAATTCTGCTTGTCACAGTTTACTTTCCATAATTTGTTTTACTCAAAAAGTTGTTTGACCTTTTCAGCTTTTTTAAAGAAACTTGGTTTTATAAACTGGCTCACAGACCTTCGTCCATTAGGAATAGCGCTCTTGATTGACCAACCTTTTCCAATTAGAGGTGGAGGAAAGACCATTGTAAACTGAACAAATACTGGGCTGTCGGAAAAGTTACGACGCCTTTTGTTTTTCAAGCAAATATGTGTCATGATTTTTCCGACAACAGAAACGAGTGTTGCTCAGAGTCCTATGCCACTCTTAGGACTGTGGCAGCATGTTCAAGGACTGAGCCCGCACACAGGAGCTCCGGGGCCCCGGGAACCCTGGCGCTCCGCCTTGCCTACAGACTCCCGGGTCGGTGAGCCTCGGCCCCCACGTGCTCGTAGTACCTACCCTGAGTGGAGCAGGCGGCAACTCCAGCGGCCACCCGGAGGCACCTGATGGAGGCACCTTGACGCGTTCAGCTCTTCACAGACTTGGCGGCACAGCAGGGTTTCCTGGGTTTTTTGAGGGAAAACAGACTAGTCCCCTCAGCTGGAAGGTCTCTAGTACCTTAACCCCTGGGGTCTAGCTTCCTGCTGCTCTTCAGCCGGGCTGTACACTGCAGTGCTTGGCGAGTGTCGGGCGCACACCATGGCTCTCGGGTGTCATCAGGGTGGGCCACCCTCCAGGGCTCTGCTCCCCTCTGAGCGGGACCACCTGAGCACTAACAGCAGAGTCAAGGTTAAACGCAGCTTGTTGCAGGCAGACAGGTAAGGAGCTGGGCCAGGTGCACCACCTCCACCTAGCCTGACCCTGAGAGAGAGGTTTTATAAAACGATTCTAAAGCCTTCCTGAAAGGATTCAGCTGGCAATCCCTGCAGAGAGCTACAGAACACCTGCCTGGAAGGTTCTGTGCAATAGTTAAGACTTCTTTTGTCTTAGCTCCCCATTATCAACCTCCTCTACACACTCCCACCTTCCCACGTGGGTGCTGCCTGAGGTGCAGGGTGGCCGGTCCTCCAACCAGGGGCTGTTTAAATTCAAAGTAGGGAAAAATTGCACTTGAGAAAGGATCATCCATTGTATTTTATTTTGTCATGTGCTCACAGCATCTCTCGCTCGCTCGCTCACTCTCCCTCTCCCTGGCAGGTCACAGAGATAAATTAAAAATAAAATCTACAAGGAAAATAATTTATAAAAGCACTTCCCAGGCTTGTGCCTTCTCTTCCTACTGCTCAGTGCCCCCCGGCTGAAGGCCGATCAGCGATCAGCGTCCTCCCAGACTCCTGCCTGCCTGGGGCAGCCCATGCCCGCCGGCAGGTGGAGGCAGCAGTGGCAGCTCTAAAGGGCCGGCGGGTCTGGGCTCCCTGGAGCGCCCTCCGCCGCCCTGGGCAGCCCTCCAGGAGCCCTGGCTAAGCCGGGCTATGAGCGCCTGCGTGGAGGGAGGGTGTGCGCTCATTCCCGTTACATGCACCGCTCATTCTAGAAAGAAACCCCCAACCCCCAAAATAAGAAAGCAGACGGAGACCTCAGGACAGAGGAGAAAATCCCAAGTGTTCACACAGTTACACGGAGTCTTTATGGCAAAGAGAACATTTAGCAGCTTTGAATATTGGGGTTTCTCCTTTTTACTCAACACAAGCATTCTATTCCCTATAAGTGAAACAGGGCTCAAGCCCTAAAAAATCAAAGCGCAAGAAAGTCTAAGAGGACTAATTTTTTTGTTGCTGGGTTTTGTAGTTTTGTTTTCCAGTGACAAGCCCAGTTGTTGGTAGGGGAGGCCTGCGGGAAGGGCCGCTCCGGGTGCTGTGCTGAGTACTGCCTGGCTTCCCCCTGCCCCTGCCCTGGCAGGGCTGAGGGGCAAGGGCGGAGAACAGCGGTTGCATGCAGGCGCTGGTAGGAGACGCCTCAGCTCAGGGTAACTGGGCACAGTGGGGGACGGAGTGGCAGGGAAGAGAGTGACATGCTTGGTGGTGGGGCTGTGGCAACACAGGGCCTCGTGACCGCTCCCGTCCACCTTATCCAGTGACCCTGAACCCCCAAGCCCAGCTGCTCCCCTACATTGCAGTCGGCCCAGGAGCGCCCCTCCAGGGTGCCGAGGTGCAGGGAGCAGCAAGCTGACGAAGCCTCTCCCAGCCCTGCCCTGCCTGCGCACCAGCCCTCCCCGGGTGAAGTGGGGTCTACTCACACCACTACCTAGTCCCACCTCAAACCTGCTGCCTGGAGCCCTGGCCTTGGATTTTCTTCCCGCTTTGATTTTTTGGGGTTTTTTTCCCTTCCGTCCAGGAATGAGACTTTCCACTACTTTCCTCTCTTCTCCAGGTCCCTTCTTTCCCCTGTCGGTCTCCAGCAATGCCAACGCCACCCCTTCCCTCAACAGAAAGGGGCAGGGATGAGGACCCTGTCCACCCAAACATTCTGGCCACTTCCACCACCCCCCGTGGGGAAGCTGAGCCAGAGCGCCTGCGCCCGCCTCCTGTCCACTGCCTGTGGTCAGCCCCTCTGAGAAGATCTATTGGATAAGAAGGCATTAGAGTCCCCGCGGTAGGTCCAGGTCCAGGCCCAGCCCTTCTCCAGTTTCCAACTTGGTGAGCATCAACCCCCCTTGCTCCCCAGGCTCACTTTCTCCTGTCCTTGGGCTTCCTCTCCTGCCGCCGGGCCTGCTGGTCGGCCAGGGTGCGGGGAATGAGGAGGACGCTGCCATCCCCGGCGTACTGGAGCGCGTACTGACTGGGCGAGTAGGGCCGCCCGTTCTCATCCCGCAGGCGCCCGAACACCTCCTGGTACAGGCTCTGGACCTTCTGCTTCATCTGCCGCAGGGACCGCAGGAACTCCACCTTCTCGCGCAGCAGCCGGGCCTTGTCTCGCTGCAGGTCCTCCACGTCCCGCTCCAGGTTCAGGATGGTGTCCAGCTTGCGCTTGCGGCAGTTCTGTGCGGCCATTTTGTTCTTGCCCCGGCGCCGGATGTCGCGGATGAGGCTCAGCTGGGCCTCGCTCAGCTGGTATTTGGATAACAGCTCGTTGAACTCCTCCACGGGCAAGTTGATGATTTTGTCATTGGTGAAGGGGATCTTCATGGCTCGAGCTCGATGCTCATCCCGGCTCATCTGCTTATCCAGGAAGTCGGCCTGCTTCTCCTTGCTGCCTTTCTTGAGGGTGCTGGGTGGTGGCAAATCGGCAGAGTCAAGGGCACTGGGCGCCATGTTGTACGTGTGGTTGTGGCCCACATGCTCCAAGTAGGGCAGGCAGGAGAACTGGGAGAGATCCTGGTAGCTCATGCGGCAGAGCTTGGAGTACTCGGGCTGGTAGCCCACAGCACCCTCAGTGTCTTCCAGATCCAGAGTCTCGGAGTCAGAGCTGTAGCCAACGGCACCTTCCTCTGAAAAGGAGGAAGAAGCTGAGGAAGAAGCAGAGGAGGAGGAAGAGGAAGAGGAGGAGGAAGAGCTGCCCTCAGAGCTGCTCAGGGAGGAAGGACTATGGCTGGAGTCCAAGGAGAGGCCGGAGTCAGAGTCGAACTCCTCTTCGAGCTGGGAGGCCTGCACAGGGTTGAAGCCTTCTTCAATGGCCAGGTCCATCAGGCTGATCTCATCGAGCATGGCTTCGTCTAAAAGACCCCCCAAGGGGTCAGGTAACTCAGGGCCTGCTGTGTCATTGACTGTGCCATTGAGCTGGGGTGGAAAGAAAAGCCCGGCTAGGTTGGTGGAACTGAAGGTAGAGTTGAGGCTGGTCGAATTGCTGGGGACCAGTGGGAGCAGCGAGGAGCTGCCGGCCATAGGCAGGCTCTCCACCTCGGGGCTGAAGAGGGAGAAGTCCTGGCTGCAGCCACCCAGGGATGCCTGATGCAGGCTGACGTTCTGATTGATGGGCGTGTTGGGGGCAAGGCTGTAGTTGGTGCTCAATGGGTCTCCAGGAGGGCCACTGTACAGGATCTCGCTCGTGGATGTATTCACTTCCATGGCCTGGGAGAGGAGAAGAGCATCACCATCGGCTGGAACCGACCCCCCCCCACCGCACCCCAGCTGTGGAGGGGGCACACTGGCCGGCACCAAAGAGCGGCATAGGGAACAGCAAGAAATATCAGGCCCGGCAAACAGGTTCCTTGCCATGGACTCCACCGCCGCGCAGGCCTGGCCAGATCTCGGTTATGTTTAGTTCGACTTCCCCATTTTGAGGGCAAGGAAGAAAATAGGTAACGCGGACCACCTCCTTACTGCTAAGCCAACAGCCCGGAGAAGGAACCCCAACTGCCCCACTCACTGAGTGACCCCTCTCTATGCTCTCATTTCCTCGCCTTTTTATCTCCATCTAAGGCCGACTAGGTGACTGTGCGGCCCGAGTAAATAAAGGGCGGGCAGCTGTGCCGTACTGCGTGCAGCTTCTACCACCCTAGACCTTGGGGGGACCCTGCCATGTGACTACCTCCCCGAGGGAGGGCAAAGACAGATACACCTAGGAGGCCGCAGGGACACCCAGGCCTGCTTCCAAAGGTGGAGCCCCGGGCTTTAATCCAGACCTCCTCCCTGCCTCCTGAGGAGACACCAGGACAGGCTGCTTCTCTGTCCCCACTTTCCTATGCTCGGGCAGAGGCATTTCCGTCTCTTCCAAGAGATGAAGGGCAATGATGCCTACAATCCCCCTCCACAGCTCTGTGCCCACTGATGATCCCACCTGCATTTCCATGATGGACATGAGATCTTGCCACTGCTGTTCCAAATCAAATGGTGACTCTGTCCCGGTCAGGAGAGGAGACAAGAGGTTGTTCTGAAGACCTGGGGGTTCACTCTCACTAGGCACTGCTTCTGTTATGCTGGAAACGTCTGCTGGAAACTAGGGCAAAACAGGGGTTTAACGGGAGAAAGCAAGCCCACCTGCCTCCCTCCCAGAGACTACTACCTGACTGCTGTTCTTTCCTTCCTTGGAATTCAGTCCCAAAGTCAGGGCAGGACCAGCCCCAAGAAACTGCCCCTCACATAGCTGTGCCGGGATATATAGTGGGCAGGCTGCCCTGCTGGCTAGGCCAGCTCTCCCTCACCTCGGCATTCTCCCGAAAGGGGCAGCCGAAGACACTTTTCCAGCGACAGGGCCACCTAGTCCTCCCCACCAGGTACCAGTGGCAACAGCAACTCTTAAGTCTGACTGATCTGGCCTTCGCCTGCTCGCAGGCCGGCACTCTCCCTCTGCTCAGGTTAATAATGGCTGGCCTTAAGGCCCAAACTCCAGGGGAAAAGAGGGAAGAGTAGGGAGTCTTGACGCAAGCAGGGGTTGGGGGTGTGTTGCCTCCTCCCACAGGCCTGGCCCGATTCCCTTGCCCTCCCTGAGCCCACTGTAACTTAGAGATCGCTACCAAAATACACTTTCCCACAACCTGCCTTTTCTAAGGAGAACTTTCCAGAAATGGGCAGAGAGGGTACCTGTGCAGGGAAGCTCTCCCCAGTTTCTCCATCCACTAGCAGGTTTCGAGCCAGAGCTTCTGCACCCTCGCCTGGCCAGGTGTCCTCCTGCTCCGCTCCATCTCGCAGCTCCTTATCCACATCCTGTTCCTTCTGGCGATGACTGTAATCAAAAATCTCACGCCCAGCCCCCAGGTCAATATCCTGTCTCCAAAGGATGTCAATCAGATCTATGTCCTGAAAGACAGATGGCCATGACTTTAGCACTCATGACTTCAGTGCTGTTAGGTCCTGGTGCCCCACCCTGGCCTCAGAGGTCACTCTAACATCACTTCAGCTTCTATCCCTCCCACCCCCCCACAGCAGCAAGGTTTCTTTCATCCACTTCCAAACACTGTCTGCCCCTAAAGCCCAAGAGCTGGCAGAAACCACTAGTGTGACCATCACCATACAGATAGGCTCAGGATCTGGACCAGATACATGAGCCAAAAGGCAGGGTCCCTACACCCCCACATGAGGAGGAAGGGGGAGGAGGAGACATTTCTTGTTTTGGAAAGGAATCCTTTAAAACTTGACTTGGAGGAAGCTGGCCGTAGCAGGCAAGGGCGAACTGTCATGCAAAATTGCTCCGAGGTGGCCAGGCTTGCATCAGCCTACGGTGCCGTTTCATTTGCATAAAGGGGTGGGATGGGCTGGAGAGGAAAATCCCTGCATTTGCAACCACCTGATGCAACCAATGACAGCCACAGGCTGACTCCAGCCCTTCCCACTGCTGTTCCTCCTCCTGGGCTGATGGCAGAAGTAAGGCTGAACACCCACAACTCTTAAAGCCCAGCTCACCTCCAGATCCATCCCTGCCAGACTCCCCGCTCTCAGCTGATCCTAGCAAGCTGCCTCCACCCCGGGAGAGCCTCGGGCAGTCAGGTGACCCTCACCAGGGAGCCCAGCCAAGGCCAGCCCCACGGTATCCCCCTTCACACTGGTGCTCTCACTCCCTTCCTTACCACACCCCGGGTCTCACTGGCTGACCATCAGCCATCCCACTCAAGGACATAGCCCCCGTCACTGCTCAGTCACAACTGCTACCTCAGGCACCAAAATGCCTCCCTCCCGCCCTGCTCCGGTAGCTTCTGATCAGTTCTTGCACCACTGCAGCCCCACTGCCACCAGTGAACCCGGCACTGAACACCAGTTAAAAAGTCCTTCAGGCTTCCTGCACACACCAGCTCCTGTGACTGAAGAAGCCTACACTGCTGTCTTCTACCCAGGGGTTAAGAAGCAGATACTTTCCAGAAAAGCATTATCCTTAGACTTAGACCCACCTCCCTACCCCACCAGGTGTCCCCTGCCCCCATAAGCCCTAAGCTAAGACCTCCCAGGTGGACCTTTCCCTTTAGTTTCCCCATACACCAACCTGAACAGAAGCCCTGGACCCAGGAGCAGAGGGGGGCTGGGCCACCGGGTGACCAGCCAGCAAAGAGTTAAGGGGCCGGCTCCCTTTGGCAGGGCCCCCACCACTGTGAGAGCTGCGGTCCAGGCGGGTCATGGTCTGCGAGAAGAGCCCCAGGGCAGCCGGTGCCAGGAAGCTGGACAGGGGGCTCCAAGGAGCTCTTGGCGTGCAGGGAGCACACAAGGCTGGAAGGGTGGCCCCTTGCTAGCTCTGGGGGCCCGAGGAGGGTGCCCCGCCCCTGCTGCTGCCTGGGCGGCCCGGCCCAGCCCCCTTCCTCCATCCTTGAGCAGCCCCCTCCCACCTCACAACCCCAGTTCCACTCAGGCGCCCGGCAGCCCCCACCCTGAGCTCACCGCAGAGGCTGCAGTGAGATGGGACTCCCACCCCATGCTCCGCACTCAAGCTGCAGAAGAAAGCCAGCTCCCTCCTGGCCCTATCCTCCCGATCCTCCCTCTCCCCCCCTCCCCACGCCCCCCAAACTTGTTACCTAGGCTGCAGCGGGGAGCCAATCCCCTCCCCCTCCCACCCCGCAGGTCACTGCTGAGGCTGCAGAGAGCCAATCCCCTCCCCCAGGTCAGCAGCTGGGCTGCGGAAAGAGCCAATCCCCTCCCACTGTCGTTACCTAGGCTGCGATGAGAGCCAATCTCCTCCCCCAAGTCTCCGCTGGAGATGCGGAGGGAGCCAATCCCCTCCTACCGCCTGTTACCTAGCTGCCGCCGGGAGCCAATCTCTGCACCAGGGCAGCTGGAGAAGCTGCCGCAAGGAACCAGCCCATCCCCGGGCCGCCTCCGTCTCCTCAAGGAGACGCACCCAGGGGCGGGCAGCCCCACCCAGCCGGGGTGGCGCAGTGAGAGCCCGGGGGGAAGGGGAGCCACTCTCCCTCCTGTCGCATCCTGCTTACCCAGCCCACTCAGGCCTAGGCAGACACTCCTCCCGCAGTTTCTCTGGGAATCAAGTTCTTCCCTGGAGTGGAAGGAGTTTCCCCGTTCCTCAGGGCTGTGGCAAGCCCTCCTCAAACCCAAGGATCACAGTCCAAGGACAGGGACCCAGTGTGCGCAGACATACTGGGAACAGGGGCTCTGTCACCCTAAAATAGGCCCTGAGAGAGGAAGGTGAAAGCTGCACACAAGCCAGGATATCACCAGGCCACCAAGGCCTCCGTCCCAGGCAAGAGGAGGGAGACCCACGCCTGAAGGCCTGCACTGAAGGAGACGGGTGCCCAGCTGTGTCCTGGCCACGGATGTGCCCCCTACTCTGTTTCACGGTATTCTGCTTGACCCACATCTCAAAGCAGGAAAGAGCCCCTGACAGAATCAGGATCACAATTTCGACTCTCTCCTCACTGCTGCTACCCTTGAACCTATGGTCAGGTCAGGGACAGTATGTTCTCCTTGGTCACAGACTGCTCTTCGCCTAGAAAGAACTGTAGAAGGCCACCCCCTGCTCTGGGCAGAGTGCCAACTTAAAGGGGAATCCTATCCTTGACAAGGGCCTGGGCTATGGCTGTCCATCGCACAGGCCTGGCAGCGGGGGAGCACTGCCACCAGGGATAATACCAGCCCCAGCAGTGCCTGTCACATGCTCTGGACCTGGGTATTTTTATCCCTGAGTTGCTGAGGAAATGTTGTTCTAGACACATAATAATCCTCCCTTCCCCCATACTCAGTCTGGGCCCCTGCTACTGACCAACCCCAACACCCCTAAGGAACAGTGAAGGCCTGGTCAGGGACGGTATAACCTCCATGATGAAAGTCAGAAAATGGAGGAGGACAGGATGAAAATCCCACCCCGTTTTACCTCAGCCCATCTAGTCATAGCCCCAGCATTGCGTCCCACCCATCCATCCTGGACAAGATGTCAGCAGGAAAAGGAATGGCGGTTCCTAGCAGCCAGCCCAATTCCACCCACCCCTCGGAGAGCAACAGTGACTGGGAGTACGGGAGCGGAGGCTGGGCCACACTTCCTCAGACCAGTATGCCAAGGCCGGAGCCCGCCGAAGGAAAAGGAGAGGAAACTTCCCAGTGGCACTGGAAGAATCTGAAGGAAGAGGCAGCAAAAGGTAAGGAATGGTATGGGTCTCAGGTGAGGTACTTCTACCCTCTCAAAGTGGGTCCAGTCTGAGCCAGCTGGGCACAGAGCAGCTAGGCACTACTGCCATGCGGGGCCACTTCAGTCCACTGTTTGGAGGTTATCCTGTGCTTCAGGATCCTGGCAGCACCCCTGGCCTCTCCCCACTAGAGGCACACGCACCCCAGTACTGGCAACCAGAACTCTCTAGAGCACCCGCCCCTGGGAGAAGGGAGCAAATTCACCCCCACTGGAGGACCACTGATCCAGAGACAGCCACTTGCGATGACTGTCACTAATGTTTATAGAGAAATGAGCTCAGAAATTGGCGCAAATAGGGCCCTCCCTGGTGGCACAACGAGGGAAAGCGCAGCACTACGAAGCTAGCCCATCGGCGGCTCGTGAGCAGAGTTCAGTCCCTGGCAGGCGCTGACCCACAGGGCGCAGCAGACCTCTCCTGACCCGCCCACTGCTCCCCTCAGCAGAGTACTTTGTCGATCTGTCTGTCCTGCTCCCCACTTTGTCTCTGGTGAATCCTCTCACCGCCCCTGCACCTCTGGCCTGTACCCCAGCTCTGTATGCATAAATCAATCTTAAAAAAAGAAAGAAAAAAAGAAATTGGCTCCAATGCAGGGAGGCAAAACCTGGTCTGACTGGTGGGTAGCAAGAGCAAGTTCTGCAGCATCTACTGAACACTGTGAAACTCTTCCTCACCCTCCCCTCCAACTCAGCTCCTGAAAACCCGGCAATGGAAATCAGCCTTCGCTTTTCTTGCCAGTGAGGAGAGTATAGTGTGGCTTTCTGCAAGCTTCATAAGGTTAAGTGGCAAATGCACAGCTCGAAGCAGGCTTACCAGGGTGTGGGCAGGCTAGGGCAGAGGTCGTCGTTAAAGAAAGCTGCATTTTCTACCCAAAACTGTATGTCAGTCACATGTCAGATCTCTGACAGCTCAAAGCAAGCTGACCTGGACAGACAGCAGAAAGCAGTTTCTCCTCTAGCTCCCAGTCCTGTCCTCCCTACTCCCTACAGTGGACCTTTAGCAAAGAATGGGAGCCTCCGCCCTCTCCTGGCCAAGAATAACTATCTAAATCCACCCTTGGCTCAGACCCAGGAGAGCTGATTTATCGGGCTCTTATAACATGCCTGACCACAAAGGAGGAGAATTTCAGGATCTGTATGTGTGTTTTGATGGGGGGTAAAGGAGGAGGGAGCTACAAGGCAAGTCCACCAAGTATCTGTATCTTAGCAACAGATACACACATCAAAGCCCATCACAACATGACTCCCTTCTCACAACATGACTCCCTCCCCCACCCAGGCCTCCAGGAGTCATGTTGAAATCCAAGCAGTAAACACACTGGCATGTTCTAGGAACCTCCCACTGCCCTGACAGTACACTCAGAGGTGGGTCAATGGTTCAACACAAGGAAATGTTCTGTACCCCCAAGCCTAGGCAGATAATTCAGTCCAGTTCTATTCAAGCACAATGCCTGAGACAGCCCCCCCACCCCACCACCCATCTACCTGGTTATAGGGGTTAGTGCTGTGACCACAGTCCTTCAGAACCAGCCCGCCACCACCATCCCCCACCGCACCCCCCACCACCCTTCCGTGAAGCCACTAACCTCTTTGGTTAAGTCTCCACTGACTGGAGGGGCTACAGCCCCCAAATCCTCCAAATCTTCACTGAATCCCTGCTCCGTTTCGCTTTCTCGCACCCCGTTGTCTGGGCCTGTCACATCCTGGAGGCCACTGGAACTCTCGAGGGCCAGGCCTGAGCTGGGCTGGCTGCCAGAGACAGACCCCTCCGGATCCCGGTGGACCAGCCAGGCGTTTACCTCAGTGGTTGGCACCTGGAACCTGTCCAGGGCCCGCACCTGACTGAGAAGTCGCCGGGCAGTGAAGTAATTGTCCAGGTCTATGCTCTTGGGGTGGATACCATAGCCATCCAAGGTATTCCTCAGGTTGTGGAACTGGGTCTGAGTATAGGCAGAACTGGGCCCCAGGATGATCTCCCGGAGCGGGGGGAGCTGTGAGGTCAGGTAAGTATCCACGTCCACCCGCACCCCAATCAAACTCAGCAGAATGGTGAACTGGAGGAGTCCTTCCGTTAAGTATTTCTTCAAAGAAAGCATTGCTGAAGGACCAGAATGTTTATGCTTTTTGGTTTTTAAATCTTCCAAAAGACAAATCAAGGCCACTGCTCTGCTGCTCCAGCCAGCAAGTTACCCTCCTCAGTGCCAAACCCCGGACCCCACCCGGGCTGAACACAGGGTCTGAGCTCCCTGATGGCCTTGGAGGAAAGCACACCCCGTGGAGCCAAGGCCACACTCCAGACCACATTCACTTTTCCCTTTTCGACACCTCACTTCTGCAAGTACAACTGTTCCTAGCCCAGTTCAGGCCCTCAGGGCCCACGTGACTTACTGTCTCCACAGTCCACATACAGTCACTTCCTCACTCACATTAGTTGTCCTCTCTGTAGATTCCACTGCAGGCTGTTCTCAGGAACAGCTGATGGATTTTTTTTTTCTTTCTCCCTCCTAAGGTTTATTTTCTTTGGCTGGAGCTACAAGCCTTTTGTCTTGGGTCAGAGTGTCCCGCCTCCTCCACACTTACCAGGGGGGTTTCCAGAGAAACCTGAAAGGGAGTCACAAGAGCAACAAAATAAAATTCCGTCATTTTCACACCACATCAAGGCATAAGATGGGAAACACATTAAAAGATCACTCTCCGAGAAGAAAAAGAATTTTACTCCCAGAAAAACCTGTTATAGCTAGAACTATGAAAGGAGACTGCTCACAAAGGACAGCAGTTACTGGATATTAATTTCTCACTTCCCTAAAAGGTGACTTGTTTTGGATAAGCTGACAATGCCCAGGGCACCCCAAATAGAACCTTGTTGCCTGGTTTACCAGCCCTCCCCCCTCGCGATACAGACTATCCAGCTTCTATCTTTAGCAGGACTAGTCCATTTCCCATCTTAAAAGCTGCCTTCCCAATTCAGGAAAAACTACCTACAATCCCTGCTCTTTCTAGAGAACAGAGAGATTACTAATGGATGAAGACTGTAGAAGGATATGGGGCCAACTTGCAGGCCCGCTTCACAAAAAAGAATGCCTTTTGTTTTCCCAACTGGGAAATCTAATCTCCCTTTCCAATCACTCTCGCATTAAAAATGGGACAAGGAGGTACTGAGAGGAATGGCCAGGGCTTGAGGCAGGATGACCGGGTCCAGAATTTGCATAGGCAGGTTTTATTTTCATTCATGTGACCTTCTAAGCCACGCAGGATAAGGCCAAATTCTCAACCCAGATAACCAAGTAGGAGGGAGTACATCTGCCTTTCCTTCAGTTTCTGGTCTCTACTCCTGGGCTTCCATTGACCCCACAAACCAAGGCATGCTGAGACCACCTGTCAACTTCATCCTAAATGGGAAGGATCTACACACACCTGCACCCACACCGCCCCCCCCCCCGTACTAGATTAAACACAGCCGAGCAGAATTCCTGCTCACCCTGGCCTCCAGTTCTCACGCAGTTACTAAAACCTCCCCAATTCAGTTCAAGACACAGAACAAGGTCTTTTAAGGTCTCTGGTTTGAGTCCGGTCCCACCCTGCCCCGTATACCCGAGTCCGGCTGGGACCAAGTCGCCATGCCCGTTCACGGCGCCTCGGGGTGCAGCCTTCTGGGGCCACAGCGAACAAGTGCTACTTTCCTGGCCTCGACCCACCCTTACGGTCAACCCCACCCCGCCCTCCGTCTCTATGCCCCACCCCACTCCCATGCCTGGGCCCAACACCACGCCTTCTCGTGCCCTCAGCCCTCCCCGGCCCAACCCACCCCAGGGCCGGCTCCGGCACGGCCTCGCAGCCCCTCCCCGCTAAGCCCAGGGCCCGGCCCCGGCGCGAAACCCACTCGGCCGCCCGCTCCCGCCTCCTGCCCCTCAGCTCCACCCCGCTGCCCCTGAACACCTACGCCTGGGCCCCGCGACGCTACAACCCTCCAGCCAGGGAAAGGAATGTGCCTGATACCGGCTGCTGAGCTTAGCGTCCGCCGCCGCCGCCACAGCAGGCCCTCAGCCCGAGTCCGGCCTTGCCGCCGCCACCGCCGGCCGGCCTACAGATCCCCAGCCTCCGCTTCCCTCCCCGCCCCCTCCTCCCACATCACTCGGAAGTCCGGCCTCCCCAAGAACAGGTTTCACCAATCAACGAGCCAGGACTAGCATCGTCGCCGGATGTCACTTTGACTGACGGCTGAGAGAGACCAATGGCTGCGTGGGGCTCTTCCTCCTTTTCCCGAGTTCCCAAGACTGACATGGCCTCTTGCCCAATGGGTGCGTCGCCCCGCCCTACGGCGTGGGCTCGCCAATGAGTGGGGCCAGGGCGCTATTCCCTCCCCCTCCACGGGCAATCTCAACCTCCGCCGTGCGTGGGCCGCGGGAGGCATTACAGGCTGGGCGCGAGTGAATATGCAGGCAAAGCGCCCAGCGCATTCTTCCCCTGGGCGTGGGGCCTTGACAGAGGGTGGGAGGCGGTGCGACCGTTGGAACACGGGCCCTCCCCTTCGCCCCCCTCCCCGGCCCCCAGGTTCCCACGGTGACTTGCAAAAGCCCAGTGAGACCCTAGGGGGCCGAGGCGGGGCTCCGAGCGTGTTCTGGTCGTGGCGACGCTAGTGCTGCCATTTTGGATGCTGGCGACGGAAACCTTTACCTCAGTTTCCGCTCTTTGCAGGCGCGGTTTCGGAAAGCTTTGGCCTAGCGTCCTGGGCGGGAGGCCCAACGCGGGAAGAGCCCCTTGCAAGTTGCCACACCGTGGTGGCATGTCATTGGCGTGGGTGGTGTAAATTAATTATCAGGCTTTGTCGTAATAGAAGCACCCCAAAGACCTTACCCTCTTCATGTCTTGTCTTTCAGGAAATGTCCTCAGGGCTCCCATCTCCTTTAGTTAACATCTTTGTGAATTTCAAATATTTTCTCCTGTCATTACTCGGGGTGGGGGTGGGGGGGACCTGTTAAATGTGCAAATTCTGAAGCTCTACGCCAAAGGTTCTGATTCACGTGCCCTGGGTTGGCAGCCTGATAACCTGCCTACCTGTTAAACCACTCGGTAATAGGAATGCCGCTGGGTCATCACTGGTTGGAGTAGGTTGTGAACTGTGGGACAAAGGTAGCAACTCAAGTTGTTGACTCTGGGAGAGCCTCTGTTCTGGGGGAATCGTTGGTCCCTGTATAAACAAGGTCAATGATAACTCATTAGATAACGTCAAGATCTTCCTGTTTTTGGAAAATCAGATTTGAGTGGTTCATATTACAAACGCTCACCATATAGAAAATCAGCATCAGGTCATTGACTCTTTAGGAAACTACTCAGCTGTTTGCTGTTTCGAAGACTGATAGAGTGCACGTGTTTTTAAGCTTGTTTTATTCTTTGTCTCTCAGTACATGCTAGGATAAACTTAAGGACTGTATCTTTTGGATCTTCAAAACCTGGAACAGTGCTTGAGACTTACTTAGTAGACAATAAATTCGTCATAATTGAAGGAGAACCCATGCAGACCTGTGTTTAGAAGTTTCTATTATGGCAGAAATTAATACTTGGAAGAGGTTTGGTTTTGAAAGCTATGGCATGTTACTAAGGAAGTGAGAGAATATTCAGCTCCTAAATAAGACCATGAAAGTAATAATACTGTAGTATAAGGAGAAATTGAGGTATGATCATTAATTCAATATACTAAGGCCCTCCCTGGTGGCGCAAGGGGATAAAGGGCAGTAGTGAAGCTATCTTTAACCACTGCAGCACCAGTTAGATCCCAGGCCTGGGAGCTGACCCACATGGCGCAGGAGACCTCTTCTGTCCCGCCAGCTGCTCCCCTCAGCAGTGTATTTCAGTCAGTCAGCCTGTTCTGCTCCCCACTCTACCTCTGGTGTATCTTCTCAACCCTCATACCTCTGGCTTGTACATCAGTTATGTATGCATAAAAATAAGTGAATCATTTATATATACATACACACACATATATATATATACACACGGTATACAGGAGTTGAGAAAAATTTAATACCATAGAAATGGGGTGAAGGGAAAAAACAACCATGGAGCTGAAGCAATTGGGACACTGAAGATATAGGGAGAAGACTTCCTCCAAGCCAAGGAGAAAGGTCTCTGTCGAAACAACCCTGACAACATGTGGATCTAGGACTTCTCTCTTCCAGAACTATGAGGAAATAATTTTCTATTGTTTAAATTTAAGAAATAATCCACAGATGGGCTTCCCTGGTGGCGCAAGTGTTTAAGTCTCAGCCCTATGAAGCTGTCCACAGCCACTGCAGCACAAGTTCGATCCCCAGCCAGGTTGCTGGCCCACATGGCACTAGCAGACCTCTTCTGACCGATCCACCCCGCTGCTCCCCTCAGCAGTGTACTTGTCACTCTGCCTCATCTGCTCCCCACTCTGGCTCTGGTGAATCCTATCACTGCCCCCCAATCCTGCAACCCCCCCTCTGTCCCCATGCTTCAGGGCTGCACCCCAGCACTTGTATGCATAAATAAATAAATCTTAATAAAATAAAAAAATAATACACAGAACTGAAAGATAACAGACCAATGTTACTTCAAGATGACTATTTTGAGAGGTAGAAGAGTTGCATATTAAAAGTGATTATTTGTTTCACATAGCCAAAGTAGTCATTTCAAAATTTGACACACAGTTTCTAAAAAAATAAAAAAGAAAATTTGACATTTCCTAAAAAAGAACAACTAGGCCCTCCCTGGTGACACAGATGTTAAAGTCTCAGCACTATCAAGCTATCACCAGCCACTGTGGCGTGAGTTTGATCCCCTGCCCAGAGCAGACCCACAGACCTGTTTCTGCCACTGCTCTCCTCAGCCGTGTATTTCAGTAGATCCACCTACTCTGCTCCCCACTCTGTCTCTGGTAAATCCTCTTACCCCCCCACACCTCTGGCCTGTACCCTAGTTCTTGTATGCATAAATAACTATAAATACTTTTTTAAAAAATGAATGAGAGCTTCACCACTGCAACTTAACGACAGTTATAACTAATGTTCATCACACACTTTTTTTAAGATTGGTTTATTTATGCATACAAGAACTGGAGTATAGGCCAGAGGTGTGCGTGTGTGTGTGTGTTTGCGCGCGTGCTTGCGAGTGTGCACGTGCGAGGAGGGGTTTCACCAGAGAGAGTGGGGAGCAGAACAGCAGATCTATTGAAATAAACTGCTGAGGGGAGGAGTGGGTGAGACGGGAGAGGTCTGCTGCACCGTGTGGGTCACCACTCTGGCCTTGGATTGAACATGTGCTGCAGTAGCTGTGGACAGCTTCTCAGTGCTGCGCTTAACCCCTTGCACCAGCAAGGAGGGCTCAGCCACTTTGAAAGCCTAAATTCATTTGGTCACTTTGTAGTGTGTGGTAAGTTTACAACTCTATATTGGTTCCAAGATTATGTTTTCTCACCATTTCTACCACTAAATGCCCAGTCGCCACCCACTACCAGATGATCGACTCCTTCTACTCGTTTTCTTTTCATCTTTCCCCCCTTTGAAAACCACCATTCCACTGTCAGAATCTAAAGGTTTGATTTTCCCCCAAATAATTGAAATGATACAGTATTTACCTTTCTCTTTTGACCTATTTCACTAAGGATTACCCCCTCTGAATCCATCCATGTTGTCACAAATGGCAAGGTTTCATCTTTTTATGACTGAATAATAGTATTCTATAGAGTTTATCTCCCACATCTTTTTCATTCAGTCAGCCATCATTGGGCACCTACGTTTTCTCCATAACGTTGACTTCTGTGAAATGTGCTGCGGCAGCAAGCATAGGGGTGTATATCACATGTCCTTTGTGTTTTATATTCATATTCTTTTGGCAAATATGCAAATGTGGGATTACCAGATCATACAGTAGTTAGTTCTATTTAAATTTTTTTTTTTTTAGGAACTGCCATACTATTTTCCATAATTACTGCACCAAGTTACATTCCCACCAACAGTGCATGAGGGTTCCTTTATTCTTGCCATATTCTTGCCAGCACTTATTATTTCTTGACTTTCGTGTGAAGTGAAATGTCACCGAGGTTCTGATTTGTCTTTCCCTAGTGGTACGCGATGCGGAGCATCTTTTCGTGAATCTCTTGCTGGTTATGTATTAATAGCTGGTAAACACTTGAGACAGCACTTACCAATCCTCTCTTCCCTGCTCTCCTTTCTGGATCCCAGCTGTGGAGGGTTTAACAGGCACTGAAGTAAGAGGGGCTTCATGTTATCTTTAGAGAAAGGTGAGGGAAGTGTTGAGAGGTAGTTTGTTTTGGCTCACCATATTCCCTTTCTTTTATTTTTTTTAAAGATTTATTTATTTATGCGTACAGAACCAGAGTACAGGCCAGCGGTGTAGGGGCCGTAAGAGGACTCTCCAGAGACAGAGTGGGAGTAGAACAGGCAGATCAATGAAGTACACTACTGAGGGGAGCAGGGGGCAAGACAGAGGAGGTCTGCTGTGCCATGTGGGTCACCTCCAGAGCCAGGGTTCGAACTTGCACTGAGGTGGCTGTGGCTAGCTTGCAGTGCTGTGCTCTAACCTGCTTAGCCACCAGGGAGGGCCCCTGTCTTAATTTTCTTTTCCCTCCCAATTTAAAATACTGTGTTTGGATGTACATAATAATTATCTAAGTGTACAATGGGAGAGAGATGGTTCAGGAACTGCATTATTGGTTAAAGAGTGAAGGGAGGTAGTTAGAAAAATTTCCTGCTTAGCAGTTACCCAAAGGAGGGAAGAAAAAAATGGAAAGACAAAGAATCACTGGCCCATTATTGTAAAGGCTGAGGAGAATATTGATACAGAGACCTAGAGACCATCTCAATCAGCAGAGCAATTAGGCTTGGCAGGGTGTGGGCACCCAGGATAACTAATATGCTGTGGTAGGAAGTGGAGACTGCCTTCCACAGTCTAAAGTTACAGATCAAGTCTGAGCAGGCGCAAAACTCTGCAGAACCTGAGTATTAACCTAATAAAATTCAGGGTGTGTCCTTCACAGAGGAAATCATAGTCCTTTCTCCTCCCCCCCCCACCCCCTTTCCTCTCCTTTGCCTAGGGCAAGCTGTTAATAGGGCAGTTACCTCAG